GTGGGGAGGGGAAATGGGCAGGGCCAGGGCCTGTGGAGGGTCCTCTTTTTTTATTTGTTAGATATGGTAACCCTAGTTTCATGTCACTATATTTTTCTATTTAGGAGCCATGTTCTTTAATCTCCCACCTTAGCTCAAAATGGTTTTTAAAATGTCCTTCCCAACCCCATTACGACAGGGATGAGGGCCTACAGAATTGCAGCTAAGCGTCCTTCAGGAGGGCACAGTACAGTTCCAGAAAGTACAGTGTACTGACATCATTGAAAATGAGTAAGGTTGCTTAGAGAAAGAGGAAGTTGTCCACTGCCTCCTGCTGAATGCGGAGCTTGGATGTCGGAACAAATCACTCAGGGTTTGCCATTTGTGCTGCACTCTCCGGCCACTGAGAACTTCAGAACGTATGTGGGGATAGAGCCAAACTCCTCTAGCTCCTAAAGCACAGCCCCCCTACTACTGAGCTAAAGGAGAGTCTCCCTTTGGTCTCAGCAGTGTAGGGCCTATGATGCATAGTTCAGTAGTTCTGATTACATCCAGAGCACATATACACACTAGCTAGTTCAGAGCACTATGCAGTGATGCAGCCGACACGTCTGTTGGGAGCTCCAACGCACCTTCCAAATCCCTTTGCTATGTTACCAACTTTGGGCCAACGCTGGCTGTGTTCTGTCTGAAAGGTTGTTTCTGAAAGGGCAGAGCTAGCCAACAGCTTTCTTGTGTGACCTTTCCGGATGCACGTGTGCTATCTAGGCAACTTTTAGTCTATTAGCTGCAAGGAAACAATGTGCATTAGCCATGCTACAGAGTGCAGTATCTTATCCATGAGCACTTGCTGACTTGAATGAGAGCAAGCTGCTTGACTGGTACAAGTTTGCACAGGCAAAAGAATGACAGGTTTCAAAGAATGTTAATCATGACAAAATCGTCCCGGTCTCTAAAAGGCCTGGAGATACATTACAAAGGCCCCATGAATCCTATCGATCTATGGTACTTCAATACAGAAGTAGTGGAAAAGGGTGTTCATTCAGTCATGGACTCGCTCTTCTGTCTTGAGTGCCTCATTAATGTTACCGAAATATCGGGTCTACCTAGCTGAGAGCCAATAACAGCCAGACAGGGATAAGGAAGAGTTGCTTTATTCTGCAGACGAAAGGAGAGCCTTGCACCTTGGTACAAAGACTTTGTTTTATACACATTTTACAGATTTTTTAATACACATTTAGATAAAGGTTTTTGCAGTGTTAATACTTGATTGGTGGTTGTTAGACCCGTGCTTTTGCTATCTGGTTAGTGAAAACCAGCTTGGGCCCAGCTCCGACTACTTTAAGGCCTTGAAGGGAAGACAGTTGAAAAGTTTAGGCTACTGTGTTTTTAAGGTGTTTGCTTTTTTTAAATGGCCATTGGCTAACATAACGACTGCTTTATTAAGGGGAGTTACTAGTAACTTTTACAGTCCTCCCTACGGGCCTGACAAATTTAAAAATTGTCAGGCCCGTTACGCAATTTGCGATTAAGCTGGAGGGACAGATCCTGGGTTTTTTTATGGACAGCAGAGCTTTTGATTATAGCATTACATAGGCATTTGGCACATTGTATTATTGTTTAAATAACACAGGGAAAAAAAGAAAGAAAAGAATCCATTTAACAATTGTTTGAAAGAGCCCCGTAAACCATGACCCAAGGTCTGGAAGGAGGTTTTTAAAACGAAAGGTGTGATTAAGAGATACAGCATGGAAAACATTAGCAGCATTCTTAATGGCTTGTAAATTTTGCTTAATTAAGCCAGAATGATTAATATAGAAACAGCATTTTTTTTTGATGCGAGCACAAGCCCCCCCTAATTCAGCATTCATTTAACGCACGTTTATTTTGCAAAGGTATTTTTGCCACCTTATTAATTTTTCGTTTTAATTTTTGGAAAGCGTTTATTAATACATTAGCTACTTTTTATTTATTACTTTTATTTATTACTGCTTTTTTTAGCTTGGCTACCCCCAACCCAGGAATGAGCGCACGAACAAAGAAGTGAAACCCCGTTTGCTTGACTACGAGGGGATTGTTGGTGCGTTTTGCTTGAGTCCTTATGGGGGGCGGGGGGGGGGG